TATTGATATTTCCGTCACCGCATTGTGACATGTAATTGCATTTTGTTCGTACGTACATACGTAAATGCGTAGTATTTTCTAGGTCAAAATTGAAAAAGCGACTTTGAATTTTTTTCCATGTTCAATGAATTTGTTTTAATATAACGTGACCTTGTCAGTAACATAGATAGTTTAAAAAAAGTACTCTATATCGATATATATATATTATAAATAGATTTGCACCAGCTAATCAGATGGTTTCCAATTATGTAAAATTTTCCTATTGTTTTTGCGCCAAATTTTTCGTACATTGGTTTTATAATTGGAATATAAGTGAAAAAATGGTATTATCCTTCCGACAATGTTCAAAAATCAAATTTTAATTTTTGATTCTAACGATGAAAGTAGCTTATCACACCAGCACCCTGGAAATAATTTTAGGAAGAGCATATGTTGGGATCATTTCAAATTAATTAAAGTCCCGGGAAATGAAACAGTAGTAGAATGCACTATTGATGGATGCAATACGAAATACGTATGGCGCGGATCTACTTCTAACCTTCTTGATCATATTAAAAGAAAGCATCATGTAACAACAAAATCGGGAAATAGTAGAGTTCAACAATCACGCAGACGCTCTAAAAATAATTATAAGGAAAGCATATGTTGGAGATATTTTCGCCCAATTAGACCGAGTTATGGATCAGAAACAAAGTGTACTTTTGATGGGTGCAATACGAAATACGTATGGCGCGGATCTACTTCTAACTTTCTTGATCATCTTAAGAGAAAGCATGTAACAGAATTAAAAATTAAACTTCCATTAATTAAATTCTTTATTCCCTCTGCATCACCTCCCAAAGTTATTAATAGTTTAAAATCTTCTGGTCTCATTAATCTACAAATTGAACTGCCCCTCGAAGAACAGATAAATAAATTATATAAACATTTATCTGATCAGGTGAAATCAAAAATTCAGACAGCAAAATCTGTTATGCTCTCAATTTACAAAATTTTTATGAGACGGACTAGACAGATTCGTAGATATAAACTTGCAGTTACTTGTTGCTGGCTAACTGAAAACTTCGAATTTAATAAAAGAAACATTTAACGATATTATCGAAGCTTTAGATCAGTGGAAATTAAAAAACTTGAAATTTGTTATTAGCAATAAAGATTTTTATGACCAGCTAAAAGAAAAGTACCCAGATATTATCCATATAAGCGCTAGCATAGATGGTAATGACTTAATAGTAAACAATTTAAGTAGATGGGCTAGAGAAAATACCAGTACTCAAGGAATTTCTAATATTGTCAAAGCTGTTCAAAACGCTACCCGTAATCTTTGCAATGTCGTAGGTGTTTTGAAGGACAGAAGAATGCAAAGTGGAATGAATATAACAAATATAACAATTAATGATTGTAATTGTCATTATCATAAAATAGAATTTCTTTCATTAATAAGCCAACATTTTAAGCAATTATTTAATAATTATAATATTGATGATAATTTTATTAAAGAAAAAGTAGGTTATTTTAAATGGCTTTCATTAGATCATTTACCAGTTAGTATATTTGATAAATTAGTAGAATTATTCAAACCTTTGAAACATATCAATGCTGTTACTGGAAAAAATATTATAGATCTATTAGTTAATGCTACTAGCATTTTAAGAAGGATTTCTCATTTTCAGTTTAATTTTAATTCTGAATACAAGTCACTAGAATCATTTCTACAATTTTTAATTCGATCATACGAACATTTCTACGTAAGTTTATTTTTAGATCCGAGTTCGAATCCAATAAATTCTCTTTCTGATGTAAGTTTTATTAAAATTTTAACATTGTTATGATTAAAAATCACAATTAATGTAAATATTTTTCATACAATATATTAGGAGGTGCTCGGAGAAATTGAATGCCAAGTCTATTCTTTACATAGTCCCAGTTCTTCTGGTAATAGTTTAATTTATGAAGAAGTGACACGATATGTTAGTCGTTTGCAATCTCAGTTTGATAAGAACTTTGATGTGTATAAATGGTGGCAAAATTCAAAACATGAATTTCCTGGTTTGGCTACTCTTGCAAGGGAATATTTGCTTTTGGTGTCAGATAAAGTTCAATTCAATAATCTTGAAAAATTTCTAGAAGTTTATAAAAATGTTGATATGGTAGACAAAATAGCTTTTCTAGATTGTAACATGAAGTACATTAATCTCTGATAGCAAATTATTATTTATCAATATATGGCTATCGTTATTGAGTAAAATATTGCTAATGACGATATTGTAACTTATCGTGCAAACTCTTATGATCATAGATTTTTTTCTTCTTGTTATTTTTTGTACGTTATTACGTAAGCACAA